GAGAAGGTGCTTGTGTAGATCTGGAAGAACTCTGCAGCAAGGAACAGAACTCGTTAGGTTTGTGCTATTCAGGCAACATTCAGTAAGTCCCGCAGCAGCCCAGACGGCGGCTCAGTAACACGCGTGCTCTACCTTGAAGTGGTCATTCAGGATCCTGGAATACTTCATGGCAGCATCTTTTTTGTAACGGAACATTGCCATGTGCAGAAGGGACTGGCAGCGCATGCTGTGAACAGAAACACACCCAAGCATCAGTGCTGACGCTGGCTGCTGCCTGCTCAGCAGTCACCAGCCTTGTGGGACAGAGGCGGGCACGCATCAGCGGTACTGCAGCTCCAAGACAGCTCTGAATGTCTCCTCCTCCTGCTCAGCTTTAAAAAAGACTCTTTAAAAGCATCACAAAGGAAAAAAAAGCAACCAAGGAAGGGCCATGCCTGGTCTTCTATATAAACAGGTGCCCAACCTCCCATGAGTGTCACGGGCTGAGTAAGCCTCCGTCCAGAAAAGGCTTCGTGATGTTCAGCTTCAGCCTCAGTTATGTGGCTCAAATATGGGCAGCCAAATTGCATTCTTTCACCTTTGGAGAAAGCCCTTATGTGCTCTCAAGTTACCAGCAGATTGAATTTTAGAGTCTCTGCCTTCCACATGTGGTCCCCTGTGATATCCCAACTCACTTTAGAGATGTTCCAGTTCATTCTGGCTTTTATATTGTGTTTTCTTTTTCCTTGCAGAATTCCAATTCCCATTTAACTCATTCCTTCACCCCTGAAAGTAATGAGTTTTTCACTCTATCGAGTCTAAAAACAGAATATGAAAGCAGAGAAAAACAGTTACCCACCATAACACAGCAAAGATTTTTTCCTGTGAAGATGCTGAGGCATCTGTAAAGGATTTCAGTGTCATGACGAATCTAAGGAAACAAAATGAACAGAATCTTGTCAGCCATCAGTGCTCTGAAGTCCCACTGTTCATGAAAAATCAGCTCATGCCATTATCTCAAACACCAGTCCAAAAGTCAGGAAACCTGCCCCGAGTTCTTAGTGCTGGCAGCAAGTGGTTTGTACAGTGCTGAGCAGGGGACTGTGTCTCCAAATGCCTTGTTTCCCAGGCAGCAGGAACAGATGTGGCCCCTTATGTGACCCACTCTGCTCTTACACTGATTAACAGGCAACAAGTAGAAGCCCTGCATGGGCCACCCCTAGGCCTGGGACCCAGAAGAAGTGCCCCCGCTACTGAAGGTGAAATATTAATTCAAGTGTTTCTGGACAAGACAGACATCTTAGTGGAAATGTTTCTTCTGGCAAAACAACAAGTAAGCCAACCTCCTTTTTGAAAAAAAAGGCAACAAGAGCATCTTGGAAATACAGTCTGTCAAGACCAGAAAGCAAACAATGTACTCGAAAAACTTTGAAGTCTAACACCAAAAAAAACAAATCCTGAGAGACGTTTCATCTCTAAGGCGAGAAGTCAGATCAGCTCTCAAAACCACTCACATAAGATGTATTTTCAAGAGGAATATACCAATACCTGTCTCTCTTTTATCCAATGCATGGTTCCTTGGGTTGCGCTGCCTGTATATGTCATACTACCTACATAGATCTACTATGGCTGTGAAATTAACTGGAGAAGGTTGCTATAAGAAACCCCAGTAAAGTGTACTGGTACAAAGACACATTGGAGAAAGCAGTAAAATCTGCCTTCAATCACACTGCAAGACTTTTGGGGCACAAACTATTCTTACACACACACAATGCAGTTACTTTTCTTAACTGAAATACAACTGAGCTCACATGCAAAAGCAACACCAGATCTGGATGAACTAAAAACTCCCTCACGCCTCTGACTGTTATAACCAGTGTCCTCTGGTGCACCTCAGCTGCGTGGCTCAGGGGCCGAGTAGGACACAGTGCCTCCTTCTGATCAGCAGTGCCGAAACATGCCAAAGGATTTGTCTCTGGTGCCTCGCCATGGGCTGTCTCGTGCTTGTGCAGCAGCCCGGGCTCTGCTCCGTGGGGGGAATCCAGAGCTGCCAGTTGCAAACAACAACACAACTCCCCCTTCTGCTCCAAACACGCTGCCTGACCATCACGCTGTGAAAACCACTTACTTGAGGAGATCTATGGTGTCGTTGAATATGCTGTAAGCTGACTTTGGTGCTGATGCATCCGATTCCAAGGCAATCCCGTAATCAAGGAAGGAAAGGGCAGCATCTAGGTACTGGAAGGCCTTTCCAGTCTTGTCAGTCTATTGGAAGAAAATTCTCTTGTTTAGACTAAGACAAAAACCACTTCTCTCAAGTGTAGTTGAATTCATTTTTTCCCTTGTTAGGCAGGATTTGAAGAAAGAAAAAAGGCAAGTCAGGCCTCTGGGTGATAGTTAAAGGGTTCTAGGCAGAACCCCTAATGTGGTCCCAGGCATCAGTTTTGTGTGCTCTGGCTATTTGTATCTCTCCCTCTCTCTTCCCTTCCAAAGGAAGTGCTTATTAAGAAGCAGCATCCAGGGTGGCTGTAGGACCAGCCTCACCTGGCGTCTTCAGAAAGTACAGATAAGGGTTGTAAAAGAAAAACCTACTTTTCAAACTGGAGTTGAGGTCTCCTTGGCTTGGAAGTACCGTTTGGCAAAGAAGGCACTGGGAAAGGATTTGTGACATCCCCTGCAGATCCCTGAAAACCACAGTGGAGATAAAGCTGGTTAGAGAGATATGCCTAAACCAATTCCAAAGCATGGCTTTCCTAAATTTCAAGAGAAAATATTTGTCCCAGGTGTAGTCTATTCTCCAGGCTCTCCCCTCTTCTTACCTTCCTCCCCAGCACCCCCTCCAATAACGGAAATGGAAACTTGGCTTCTTACCTGACTGCTAATAAGGCTTAATACATTCAACCTTTTCCCAAGCACAGAGAAATTAACTAGCAGCTTTCCTTGCACAATGGCTAAGATAATAGTAAGGCTGCAAGCAGCACATTTTTCATGGCCAATAGCCAAGGCAGGAACAGGTAATATTCATTCACACTTATTTCCAGCTTAACCACACACAAATTGCTGATTCTCCATTATTAACTACATTATCAGGAAAAAGCAAGCAGTTTGAAGCCAACTAATAGTGTGCACAGTCTGGTTTAACACACACACACACATCACAACAACCTAGACCACAAACAACCCACTGCCCATAAACAGCATTGTAATTGAATTTCATAATCCAAAAATACAAAGATCCAGCTGCAAGGATCATTAACAATTTTGTAAGCAAGCTATAAAAATTCAGACCCAGGCTGCAGTCAGAAACACAGGTTGCTTGTTTCTTATTTGTAAGCAACCGACTCCTTCATTTTGTAAACACATTTATTTTGGCACCAAAACTGTACTTGCAGTTGCCTAGTCAGAAACTGTTATTAGCAGAAACATGATTCTCTTGCCTT